TTTATTTATAGAGGATGACACTTGACAGTACGAATACTGATGACTCTGTGGTCCTCTGGAAACCTATGTGCCTAACCCACCCATGTCAACTTTCCCTGTGGGAGGAAACACGGAGTACCCGGAGAAAACCCACGACTTTCGGCAGAGTAGGCCTCAGGTTGAAAGCTTATGGTTGCGCTAGTAAATTAAAATAAGGAAAGTTCACCGTGCGCGCGCAGTTTAGCGAATGCGAGATAACACTTAAATTATCCTATACAATATCACAATAAGTTGCTCTTCAATCAATTCTTGCTTTAGTTGATAGGAGTGCTGACAACGTAATGTTCTTTCATGCACAATATCAAAATAAAGGTTCATGTAATACCATTACAAAAGTTGTTTCATTATTTTCCTAGCGGTGAAGTTTTTCAAATTTCCATCTGAATCAAGCAGCACGATAACAACTCCATCAGCAACAAGAATAATGGGGAAAAGTGTCAGGACGATGGGCGTGAAAAACAGTTCATCAATTCTAAACAGTGGCAGTAACGGAACATCCAGAAGTTATACCATTGTTTTGGAAGCTAATGAAGTGAAGACATTGTCAGTGTTATCCAGCGCCGATGTCGCTACCATGACGTCTTCATATTCTGGTGGTCCGACTCCTAGTGCATTGACGAAGTTATTTGCTGATTTACAATCATCTGTTGAAGCATCGCCGACCAATACGGAACCTTCTACAATTCCAAGCTTCCAAATTCATTCAACTTTGATTCAAACTGCACAGTCCGATATTCGAGGTAATCAAATATATCATATAAATATAAATTTATAACGTGCAAAACTTAAAACATTTTTAAGTAATATCTTTTAAATCAAGAAACTCGCTCCCTAAAATGTTTCAGTCATTGCTTGTTCACAAAACTTGGGGAATAGGTTATAGAATTATTGGAATTGGCTCCAGAGAAAAAATAATATTTTGGCAATAACGATTTAAAAGTAAAGATTTCGATAAACGTACAATCAACCTGGATGCAAAAAAGATGAGGTAATTCAGCTTAACTATTCCTAAACATAGAAAACCTTATATTTTAATTACAACACACGCTCTATTTATAGCAAAGATATTGCGCATCTCAGCTGAAAACTGCATGGTTGGGATTGGCGCCTTGGATATCCGAAACAAGGAGGAATGTTTAGATAAAATTTCGAAAACTTCTACTTGGCAAGCATTCAAATACGGTCTACTCAATTTCTTTGGTTGTGTTATTTTGGAGCAGGTGAATCGCAAAAAGCAAGCAGAATCAGAAAAATGCGAGTTTCCTTTCCTTTTATATTCTTTGTAATATTTTTATATGGACGTCCCCCGTGGAAGTCAACTTTTGTAGTTGTCGGAGTCAGAGTCGCTAAATAAAGTGTGTATGTATGTATGTATGTATGTATGTATGTATGTATGTATGTATGTATGTATGTATGTATGTATGTATGTATGTATGTATGTATGTATGTATGTATGTATGTATGTATGTATGTATGTATGTGTGTATGTATGTATGTATTCTATTCTAGGGACCATATTCCTCTTTTTCTTGCTTACGTCAATCGCCAATATCCTAACATTAACTTTACTTGTAAAGTTGAATCCAATTGTCAACTTTCCTTCCTTGACATTATTATTACACGAACTAATGCAAATGGCCATTTTGAAACCTCTGTGTTTCGCCAATTTTAATATAGATCAGTAATTACGTCATTGAACAGACACAGTCACGTGAAAGAAAACAGTGGGAAATAAACACGTTGGTTTTAAGTTCTTTACACGAGGTTTAACGTTCAGAAATAGGTTTATATTTGGCATATTGTAAAGTGATATAGGCCAAAGAAGTAAGATCATGTTGTTTCTTATTATTAATTTACTTTGTTCAGTAGATAATTCTTGTATTTATAATTTTGGATCGAATACTAACTACTACTAAATGCTACAACTATTATACGATATTTGCAAAATACTTGCGGTCACTTTACAAACCGGTTTCTGATTCTGGCGAGCCATAAATTCGATTTCAAGCTGACCAGGGCTTAAAGGATATTCAGAAAATGACGGAAGTAACGATGGAAGCGTTAAACGAATGTGCAAAATCGAGTGTTACAAGGGCAGGAAATGGCTTGGATTATTTATTGAAAAATGAGAGACCTATACCGGAAGTTGAGGAATCACTCGCTAATTTTGAAGATTTATACAAGAAATTGGTTGAAAAACACGGCGAATAAATTCAGTTAGTGGATGGCGATGAAGAATTTGCCACTGAGGAAGAATGGATTGAAGATTGTCAACAGAGGTTTATGCAGATAAGGATCAGAACAAACGATTATTTAAAGGTCAAGTCACAATGTCAGTTTGAAAATGAAACAAACCCAGAAACAGATTTAGTGCCCAATCAAACCGAGACAACTGTTAGTGACAATGGGTAACAAGAGCATGACGGTATCCCTGGGTCTGGTCAACTCCCATCACACCAAGGTCAACCCCCATCCTACCAAGGTCAAGACACATCCCACCAAGGTCAAGAACACAATAGTCGAAGTTCATGTAAGGGTGCCCAAAGTATTTCAAATGTTCAACCTGTGTGTGGTTTCAAAATGGAGAAGCCAAAAATGCCTAGATTTAGTGGCGATGTCAGAGAGTACAGTATTTTTCGAGATGACTTTAGGCATGCTATTGAATGTAGATACAGTAAACGAGATGCAATGACGTACCATCGTGCATGCTTGCAGGGAAAACCCCTAGAGCTTATTAAATGAATTGGTACAGATTATGATGGGGCATGTCAGTATTTAGACTCAATCTATGGAGACCCCAGATATGTGTCGGACCAAGTAAGGGGCGGACCATTAGAAATCCCGGGAGGGGGGGTATAAAATTTTTGCGGCACGAATTTTTTTTTCAGTCTCATGTGTCTGCAGGAATTTTATTTAATGCACTTAACCTCTGCACGAATTTTTTTTCAAGACTACTTGTACTTTGCTCATGGCGACCTCCCCCCCCCCACCCGTCGCCAAAAATAATTTCGGTCAGTGTACCATTTTAGGGGTCAAAATTTTTTTCCGGACATACCACATACCAAAAGTTAACACAAAATTGACAGAATTTGTCAATTTTTTTTTTTTAATGAACTAAAATTGCCCGACTGTTCAGCGAATATTACCCGACTGCCAACTGCCCGGTCAACCTCGTTCCCAGGGTCTCTCCGTCTGTCATCTGGGAGAGACCCTGGCTGCGGCTGGTCACGTGCCTCCCAGATTCTAGGAGGTAAATTTAATTGTAGCTGTGAGAGGGGTGGGAAAGGAGCGTGTTTGTAGCGTTTTAAAATTGCAACTGTGGGTGATGAAATGTACTGTAAATTTGCAACAAGAAATCGTAAAGAGAACTCTTAAATTAATATTTATATCGTGACGTTCTACTCTATAATCTGGTGTCGAGTTACAATTCAAGCAAGTTGGATCAGATTTCATTTAATATAGACTTGCCAAAGAAATCACGCTTGCGGCGGCTTGCCGCTTGTGCAGCGTGGCAATATTAAACCTACAGGAAAATATGTATCTCCAGACCGAACAGTGTGGTTGTTATTTATTTAGTATTAAAGTCTATCCTGATACTTGGACCAAAAAGAATTTATTTATTGATGAGATGTGGAATTGCAACGAAATAGCGAGATCTTTTGATTTCCGAAATATCAAATATCGCCAACTGTATCCAGATTGTTGATCTATATAAAGACCTTATAAAAAAAAAAAAAATTAAAGCCATTTGCATTAATTCTAGAGGGAAATGTACCGTCTGAAGAAAGATCAAGTGTTAAGTTTTTGGAAGGTGACTCCAAAGACAAGATTCCAGTTGTTGTCTGGAACAATAGTGTTAGGGCTACAGTATTTGCTTCCCATTTAGACAAATAAAAAGGCTGAGGCAATTCTTTTATGCGATATATTCTTAATACGTACGATTCACTATACAAAGTATACAAATACAAGTAAATTATTAGCAATAAAACTAGACAAATACAGCACAAAACAAAAATACACTTACAAGAAAATATGCCTCAATAACCAAATTGATCTTGATCTTCAACAAATAAACTTGATTCATGACTACTAACTTAAAACAACTAACTAAACTAATATAATAAATAACACATTTTTATAGTATTTTTGGCTATTTTGGTCAGCGGACTAATGTTTATCTAGTGTTGCACTTCATGTAACCACATACTTTACAAATAGTAAGGACGCTTTCACGTTTAAATGTAAAGCTAATGAGCTATCTGTACCGTCACAAGAAAATTCAAGCGAGTTGAAATTAACGAAGAGAAATATCCTTAGTAAAGTGGCTCGTGTATTTGATCCAATTGGATTGGCAGCAGCGTTCCTGATCCGTGCAAAAATCGTTTTACAACGACTCTGGCAGCAAGGATTAGATTGGGACGAAGAACTTTCATCTGAGGTTTCAAAGTGTTGGACTGAGTTGTTTGCTGAAATCCAAGACTTGAATAATGTCTCGTTCCCAAGAAATTTAACACCAATGAACACTGTTGGACTACCGACACTTTGTATTTTTGCGGACGCGTCTCGAGATGCAATTGGAGCATGTTCTTATTTACGCTGGGTAAAGTCAAGTGGTAATTATGAAAGTCGATTTAGATCTGCTAAGTCGAGAGTTGCCCCTCTTAAATAATTGACAATACCTCGCTTGGAGCTACAGGCAGCAGTTCTAGCTAGTCGATTGTACAAGACCGTAACAGAAGAATATCGTTTACAGTTCGAGAGAGTTATTTTCTTTACGGACAGTATGATAGTCCTTACATGGATTCGTAGTCAGTCAAGAGAATTCAAACCATTTGTGTCGAGCAGGGTTGCAGAAATTCAAACGAATTGTGATCCATCGACATGGAGACACATACCAAGTGAGCAAAATGTAGCCGATGATTTATCGAGAGGCATTCCAGCGAAAGATCTAGAACACCGTTGGAAGAATGGCCCAAAGTTCCTGAATCAACCCAAAGAAGAATGGCCTGAACAACCAGCTATGCCAATCGAACCCGCGGAACTCGACAAGGAACGTCGAAATACACAAGCAGACTTTTTGTTAAGCACCGTACCGACAGTAATTGACCCAACGAAATTTTCGAAGTGAAAGAGATTGGTGAGAGTGACTGCGTGGATCTTACGATACATACGAAATCTACGATTAAAAACAAAACCGAAGATAATGTCGACCCGTTAACAGCTGTTGAGTTAGGACAGGCTGAAGAGTTATGGATCAAGACAGCACAAAGAGAGTTACACGAAAGTGTTAAGAAGAAATTAAAGTGTTCAATATGCTTAGTCCATTCACAGATGACAAAGAAATCATAAAAGTCGGCCGACGAGTGGATAAAGCTATGGTAACGTATAATTCGAAGCATTCAGTACTTCTTCCCAAGAAACACCACATTTCATACCTGATTACCAAAGATGTACATCAGATTAATCACACTGGGATAGTGTCGACAGCGGCGAAAACAAGAAGAAAATTTTGGATTATCGGAGTGCAAAAATTGGCAAAGTTAATCAACAAAAAGTGTATTTACTGTAAGAAGCGCATCCAAAGATTGAATCGCAAGTTATGGCTGAACTGCCGAAGATAAGATTGGTGCCTCAAACACCTCCATTTTACCATACAGCTTGTGACTATTTCGGTCCGAAAAAAGTCAAAATTGGAAGAAATAAAACCACTAAACACTATGGTGTTTTGTTTACTTGTCTGAACACTCGGGCAGTTCATTTGGAACTTGCAACAGACTGTTCAACAATGGAATTCATTCAAGTACTTCGAAGATTCTTCGCGATTAGAGGTTACCCTTCATTAATGTTGAGCGATAATGGAACACAACTAGTCGGCGCAGAGAGCGAACTAGCAAAGATGATCCAAGGTTGGGATGTGAAGAAACTCAAGGAGTATGCAGCAGATAAAATAATAGAGTGGAAATTCATTACACCTAATGCCCACATCAAAACGGATGTGCCGAATCGTTGGTAAAAAGTTGCAAATTAGCCCTTAAACAAGCTATGGGAGATAACCTTCCCACACCATTTGAATTGCACACCGTACTGCTTGAAGAAGCAAATCTGGTAAACCAACGACCAATTGGTAGACCAATCAACCACCCCGATGATGGTACATACCTATGTCCGAATGACCTTTTATTAGGAAGTGCTTCCTCGCATGTTCCACAAGGACCATTCCTGAAGACAAAGAACCCGCGTCATAGAGTTGAATTTCTACAACAGATTCTTGACTCGTTTTGGAAACGATGGACCAGAGACGTCTTCCCCTGTTTAGTTTCACGAAAGAAATGGGATGTTCAGCGACGCAATGTCAAAGTCAACGATATTGTCATGTTAGTTGATTCGAATGCGGTACGAGGTAACTGGACGATCGGAAAAATTATTGAAGTTCATCCAGGTAAAGATGGAAAAATTCGAAATGTAACAGTAAAAACACAATGAGAACACAATGAGAATGAGAACAATGTTCTCATTGGGGAGGAGGATGTTTCGCTAATTTTAATATAGACCAGTAATTACGTCATTGAACAGACACAGTCACGTGACAGAAAATATCGGGAAATAAACACTTTGGTTTTAAGTTCTTTACTCGAGGTTTAACGTTCAGAAATAGGTTTATATTTGGAAAATTGTAAAGTGATATAGGCCAAAGAAGTAAGTTCATGTTGTTTCTTATTATTAATTTACTTTATTCAGTAGATAATTCTTGTATTTTTAATTTTAGATCGAATACTAACTACTACTAAATGCTACAACTATTATACGATATTTGGAAAATATTTGCGGTCACTTTACAAACCGGTTTCTGATTCTGGCGAGCCACTCTGTTTATCGTGAACCTACATTCACAGAGCTTTTCGCTAATGTCATAGCTTCACTCCTGTACAATTTAAACGTGGTTTAATATATTCACTATTACACTGCTTTTTCAATATTTGCTCTAAACATGAGAATTTTCATTCTCAGATTGAGTTTTTTAAAAAAATCCTCAACCGGAACGGTTATCATAGTCGTCTCTTTGATCGTTGTATTCGACTCTTTCCTGATAAAACCTTTTAACGCAAGGATTTTATAATCCATTCTGTATCAAAGAAAGTAGTGTACATTTGTCTTCCATATACCAAAACACACACTCTCCAAATCCGTACCCAAACTCAAGGCCTTTACTCTGTAGCCTTCCCACATATAAGCATCAGAATCGTGTTTTGTCCCACTGCACGTTTGTCCAATTTTTTCATGTTCAATTAATTAAGGACAAAATTCCCAATGCTCTGAGTTCTTATCTAGATTATTCTTTTGAGTGTCGATGCTGTTCCGCGTCGTATGTGGCCAAACGGTCCGTCATCTACATACACGAGTCTCTGAACACCTGGGTATTTCTGTCTTACCTGGTAAGACGAGTAGCAGTCCTCACCTTACGAGCATCTTTTCCAATCCGAGAAACTCAGGTCATACTGCTTCTCTTGATGATTTTAAGATCCTATCGTTCCGTTCCTCTCCAGATGAACTTCTCGTCCGTTAAAGTCTTCTTATCTCAAAACGCAGCCTACTTTCAATCAGCAAGGTAGCTCCATTCCTCTCTCACTTCTCTCACTTCTTTCCTTTAACCCCCCTCCCCCATCCTCCGCATTCCTATTACCTTGTAATTTGATATTGTAAATAGTAATTTATTCATATTTGAAACTCACTGTCGTACTATATACATTTACTCTGAAGATGGCTCTTTTTCGTACGTTATGCTGGGCAATAATCTTTATATTACGATATGGTGCGTGGCAGTTCAACTGACATTTAAGGTCATTGCTCAGGTATTGTGCCCGGAATGAGAAATTTCTGAAACTTTCCAGATTTTTAGTTTTTATGCTATGTTGTTAAATAGTTAGTGTCAAAGTTCAATTTTTCTGTTTGCCGATTGGTCAAAACCGTGTCACGTGTCGGTCCACAAAACGCCATGTTCGGCAACCGATTCGCAATGAAACATTTATTGACCGATCAATAATAAAATGGGTGCAATACGCATGCGTGTCAACCATGAAGTTCCAAAGTTAATTTTTTAAACTTTTTATTAAACTAGTTACGGCGTTCCATTTATCCAGTTTTGGTTTCAAATTAAGTTCACTCCAATAACAGGTGAATTATTCATACTTTGACATTTATATACTATTTAACAAACTACTTATTCACTGACACATCGGGAAAGCAGTGTGTTTTGTGGCCCCTCAGTAAATAAGTGATCAACATAATCCAAAATAGCTGAGGTGATTGCGGTCCATCTTGCCAAGCAAGAGCAAACACAATAGAACAACCATGCCAATATCTTAAGGACCAATGGCATTGCAATTTTCCCGAATTTGCAAGATAGCATCGCGATCAGAATATCACATGGCAAACAATTGCGCTCTGTGTTGATTCGTTAGAATTATTTAAAATTATATGTCACCCATATATGTGCAGTAATACTTAGCCTACCAATATGCATCTTACGAAATGAATATATTTGTTTTAGTTGGTGAACAGAAGACACCATCTGTTCTATCCAGCACCAATATGCCAACAACGATGTCGTCATTAGTAGGAAATCTGGTCTCCTCTGCTTTGAAAACGTCATTTGTCGAGATTCTTACGTCTATAACATCATCATCCACCCATCCTGGGCATTCGTCGATCTCAAATTCGCAAATAAATTATTCTGCAATTCCAACTACACTGTTGGATGGTCCAGGTATTTAATTTAAACTTGCTGCATATTATTTTTGACCTGCAAATCTCCAACTTTTTTAACGAGTCCATTTTCAAGCCCTTTTTACCTCAAATGTTTCAGTCGGCAAACGTCGCACTTTTTTCGTTGTACTCGCATTGTACGATTTGTAAAGGCGGAATTTTATGTAGTAGCTACAGTATGAGCCTCTGGTTTTATGGACATTTACAACGGCGAGCGCGCAGCGTGAGCCATTGTTAAATGCCCATAAAGGTCGGTTGCGAATGGGTTAACGTACTTGTTATAATGAATTCAATTTATTTGTATTCGCTGCCATTGGGGACAATCTCACGCTCCATTAAGATGCATTTGAAATCTGAACTAGTGTTGATAACATTCATTAACATCCCACCTTCTGATTTAGTATTCATATAACTTTCATAGACGTCCCTCTAACATGACCTCCTGATCTTTAATGCGAGTTAGAAGTGTGTACATTTGACCTAAATACCGCGTCGTGATTTGTTTGTAGGCTTATTAATTGTAGGCTTATTAATACCTTTACTAACTAAGGTTTGCCAAAATTTTATCTAATCGTTTACTGTTACTTTTCATTCCAAGTAGTTTTTTAATTATGATCCATAAAATTTTGCTGCTGCTTCCAAGGACTTTGACAAAATCAGTTCATAACACTTCCCTCCTTCTAATCTCAAACTTCCTGAGTCCACAATAAAATTATTAGTAAGTTTTGTTCTTTAAATCTTTCCGAATTGTGGACCGAGCAGCAAAGTCGCTCGACTTGGTGAGGGTATTTCCATATTGAGTATCCAAAGAGCGCATGTTATAGGAATGTGTGTTTCATGTATAGCGTGGGGTAGTTGAATGTTTCTGATTGTGCAAATAATGTAAACTAAGAGCTATCCAACTTTAAGTGTACGCGCGCATAAGTTGGTGATTGTGTGATACGTTAATATGCAATCAAATATCCTACAATATCTCAAGAAATTGCTCTTCTCCTTGATTTCGTAACGAAGAGTGCTCGGTACGTTGCATTCACAAATTCTTTCACTTAGGTAAAAGTTCATGTGTTGCCATTGGTAATAGTTTTGTAAGGACATAATCACAAAATTACAAATTATAGGGCAAAAAAGTTGTTTTATTTATCTAGCGGTGAATGTTTCAAAAGTGCTATCATATTCAGGCAGCATAAGGACAGCTCCATCAACAGCAAAAATTGCCAGAACGATGGTTGTAAAAACATCGAATTCAATTCAGAACAATGTCAGTCACGGAACATCCAAAAGATATATCAGTGTCGTAGAAGCTAGTGGAGAGATGACGTCGTCACTTTTATCCCACACCGATGTGATTAGAGTGATGTCTAGAACACTGATTTCTGGTGCATTGACGACGGCGTCATTTAATGATATACCCTCATCTTTTGCACCAACTTGGACCAATCCTGTGTCTTCTTCTATGGAGGGTCTTCAAAATAATTCAACTCCAATTATATCTACGCATTCTGGAACTCAAGGTATTCATATATATTTATAAATTTAATTTATATTATTTGATCAATCAGAATGAAGCAATCTGATTACCAAACTCCTATCCAGGGCTTTTGCGCGGTTCAGTGACTATGGTATGGGAAGCAAAGGCCCTGATAAACACTGGTCACGTGACTCCAAAAATATTGGACACTTTTGTAACATGCGCTTGTTAAGGTTATGTCACCCCGGGCAGGGATGAACAACTGAGCATTTGCAATGTACGAACTAAATTTAAAATTAAAAAATACAAGATTTTCCTTTGATTTTTAAAAGATGAATGTATCACAAGTGTTTTAAAATTCATATTTTGAAACAACAGGCAGCAGATTTTAAGCTTGTATTTATTTTAATGAAAATTATAAACTTTGACGTCACATGGAATTTGAATGCTAAAGATAAATTATATTCTCGTATATTTTTCACTATACATATCTTAATTTCAGCAGATTCGTTGATCTCTGTCTGTATAATTAGTTTCCTCCGTCTAGTTGTTCCTCCATCTTTAGCTTCTGGATGACCCTCTTTCATGCCTGATATATTTTTTTGGTTATCTCCATCCTTCACTAAAATCAAGATCTTTTGTTCCAGCCAGCTCAGAGTATATTAAATCTTTCGTAACTGTAGCTGTTCTCTTTGACGTGTAAAATCGTCAGGCAGTAATCTCAGTAAAATACCTATTTAACTGGCTGACCATTACAGTAGTCAAAAGTTACTAAATGAACACATGCACAAATTACCTGCCCTCATACCAATCCGTTAGTCTCTGACTCATCCAATAAAAACTTAACAGAATAGTACGATGATAATAGGAAGCGTGAAAATTCCAACCTTACCTAACTTAGATTAATTACATTAACTTTAAGTCAGGTATTCTTTTCTTTATCGCCTCAAAACACTGGATGTTGATTTTGATGTTTAAAAAAATTCCAATTCCGCCATAAATTTTACTGGAGAAAATGCTTCCCCCACCTCGTTCCATTAAATCTCCATAACCACCAATTCTACTCATCCAAGGGGAGTCGTGCACACTAATAGGATAATCAAATATGGCATACTTTGTTACTGTTCTCTGTCCAACCCCAGACAATTTTACTTGTCAAGGGTAAGGTTAAGTGAATAATAAAAAGTGGCTGGATATTCTATTCTTGCTCCATATGATTGAACTTTGGTTGTGAGGAAAATGTAAAAATACAATTACCAGTAATACTGGCTTTCTTGAAACTATGTGCAAGCATATAAATATTAATTTTTTCCCTCATGAATTATAATATTGTTTGCACAAGAAAATCTGTTGATTATATTTCATCTAGAAACAGTGTAAATGTTGATTGAATTTGGTATGTTCACTCTGTGACGAGTGAAAGTGATATATAATTCATGCGTAATATGGTGATTTTTGGTTTCAGGATGTAAAAAATGAAATTTACTGACCGATAAAATTCAGTGTAGCCGTATTCTTCATTAAACCTCTTCATTTCGGCTTTGTTAAGTTCTACCTCCTCAATACAAATAAAACTCTGCATAGATAGGAACGAAGAGGTTTTTAATTTTCCTAGGAAATTACTGACATTACTGACAAAAGTAGGACGCATCAAAACACCCAATATTAGTCCTAATTTTCTAGGCCAGCTGTGAACAATATTTCTTCAATTATACTGAACAGAATTTTTTATGGAAAAGATCTTTGATATGTAAAATCGATCTGGAAAAAAATTCGATCTTAAAAAAGAGAATCGATCTTGTATGACCTCCTTGCTTTTTTCAAGTACGTGGTCGAAAAAACACCGCGGAAAAACGTCTGCGCATCCACCAAATTATGAAAATATGGCGGGGAATTTGAATGTCAATTTCTAAAACAAAAACATGCTTATTAATTGGTCAGACATTAGTAAAATAAACAAGAAAATATAGCAAATGGGTAGACTAGACATTAATTGAAAGCGTCCTGGCATTTAAAGTATGGAATGAAATATAGTTCATGTAAAAAATGTTGATTTTAACGGACACGACTTCGAAAAGTTTTGCAAAATTATTCAAAACAAAAATTCAAACTCAAAAGTTAAGAAAACTCTCGAAAAGTTAAGCTTCTTAACCCACTCAAATTGTAGAATAAATTCTAAAGTTTAATTATTGTGAACACGAAAATTTTTTATATTTGGCGACACAGTTTTTTTTAAAGAAATGTATCTCAAACGAAAATTCGGAAATTGTCATTGCTTAGTTGATAAACAAAATCTTTCAGACGATAAATTTGTCAACAATCACCTTCAGTTCATGTTCTTGTACAATACAATTTCTTGAACCTTCTGGCTGTATTTATTTCTAGTTTTTAGAATGACATGTTTATTTTTGCGCTTGAAATCTGGCTGTAAAGACGTACAATGAAGTCACTCCTTTTTACCGCCATTTTGAGCCTTCGGAAACGTTCGGAACAGCTTCTCATCAAGTTCGCAATACTATTACAGGTAAGGTTGACGCATGCGCAGACGTTTTTCCGCGGTGTTCTGATAAGGAGGCTCCTGAAGGGGTAAAATGGGAACTGGGATTGATCTATTTTTAGACTGGGAAAATGGGATTTGGGTTGCTGGGACTGGGATTTGGCCACTGGGAATGGGAAATGAAGTCCTCAAAAATGGGAATGGGATTGAGGTAATGCGAGTCGATTCCCAATTTTTCTACGTTTTAAGTATTTTAAAATACAATTTTGGTCTGTTTTTGGTGTCTTTGGTCATGATTTTTGTTGTTAACTATATTATTCACAGCACTACCTGCGAACAAGCATACTATGGCGCCCGGAATTCTGGGTTTTCTGATTATGCGTGTCTCAGAATGCTGCAAATGCCATTTCCGGAATTCAAATTTAAAAATTTTCCGTGCCTTCGGCACAACCCCCAAAGTTTCATAAAGTGTGTGCCACTTGCACACACGATGGCTTAAAAGTCTTAAAACTGTTTATTGTACTGATAAATAAAGGGTTTTTTATTGACTGGGATTTCAATAACTCGGACTGGGATTTCTAATAAAAATTCAACTGGGACTGGGATTTTGCCAAAATTTCAGGTGGGAAATGGGATTGGGACCCCCCCCCCCCTTCGGGACCCTCTTAAAAGTTTTGTAAAAACGCCCTATGATCATTCTAAAACTCTGTCTATTCTGCAGAGGACTATGACGTTGTTGCTGTAACGGAAACGTGGCTGAATGACAATATATTAGACTCTGAAATCTTAAGTCATGGCTACTCCATTTACCGTCAGGATGGAGACTCGAGTCAACGAGGAGGTATTGTTTTACTTGCAGTCAGTCAGAACATTGAGTCAATCCGGCGAAAAGATTTGGAATGTAACGCAGAGATGGTTGCGGTTGAATTAAGTTTAGCTGAAAGCCCAAACCTTATAATATCTGTTTTCTATAGACCACCAAAATAACAACTCATCATTCATTGATGAATTTGACACATTTCTATCGAACACATCAGGCCTCCCTAAAGCCGGTTTTCCACTTCGCCCGTATCGTAGCGAAACGTACTGGTGAGCATACGCAGATTGAAAAGAGGTATATAAAACACGTACTTCCGGTTGTATTCGCGTATCAAAATAAAAAGTTCGTCGCAAGTCAACTTTTTGGCGTACTACGGAAGTACTAACCGATCAACATTCACGAAATTTTGAAATTTAAAAACGTTCTTGATACGTTACGGTACGATATGCTTGAAGTGGAAAACGGCCTTAAAACTAAACTACTTTAACTTGGGGATTTCAACTTTCCTAATATTTGCTGGTTGGAGAATGATGTCTCGCTTACATCAGACGAGTCTGCATTTTGTGAAATATTAAAAGATCATTTCCTCCAACAAGTTCATTTCAATCCAACAATAGTTTCTACCATGACTTTGACAGCGAACATTCTTGACCTCATTATCACTAATGAACCTGATTCTATTGCTAACGTAGAAGTAATACAACAAATGCCATTTCCATCGGACCATTGTCCTGTCTCATTTGACTTAACTACACATTTGCCAGGTTTACAAGAGAAACCACGAACTGTGTATAACTTTAAGAATGTAGATTTTGTGGCAATGAAGCATAGCCTTGCTCAAACTCAACTTAGTGATATAATTGATGAACATTCAACCATTGAAGTCGCCTATAATGATTGGATTAACAAGCTAATGGAAATTATTGATTCTTATATTCCCAAAACCAAGCTGAGAGATATAAATACACCACCTTGGATTAACGGCCCAGTTATGCATCTTGTCAGAAAAAAGAATGAAGCTAGAAAAAAAGTTATAACAACTAATAGTAAAATATGCCCGGCCACGGTAGGATTCGAACCTACGACCTTTGGAATACTAGCCCAATGCTCTTCCAACTGAGCTACGCGGTCAGGACGGTTCGAGTAAGTGATATTTCGGAACAGAATCTAGTTCCTTCGATACCAATGTATTCTAGTAATATGATTTTTGTGTTGGTGTTGTGTACATCAGAGTAACATCACAAATATCATATTCACCAGAGTACACAACACCAACACAGAAAAAATCATATTACTAGAATACATTGGTATCGAAGGAACTAGATTCTGTTCCGAAATATCACTTACTCGAACCGTCCTGACCGCGTAGCTCAGTTGGAAGAGCATTGGGCTAGTATTCCAAAGGTCGTAGGTTCGAATCCCACCGTGGCCGGGCATAATTTTCAAGCTCGCCCGGTGTGGATATACACTCAGAGCAACATCACAAATATCATATTCACCTGAGTACACAACACCAACACAGAAAAAAAAGAAAAAAAAAACTAATAGTACTTATTATCGCAAAAATATCAATCTCTTCGCCGATAATGCAAGTCGCTCATTCGTTCCAACTACCAGGAGTACATTGACTCTTTAAATATGTCTATGAGAAAGAATCCTAAACGATTTTGGTGTTTCTATCAGAACAAAAAGAAATCGCCATCTATACCAACAACTGTCAAGTTCTGCAATCACACCGCTCAGCACCTGACCAAGCCGAGGCATTTAATACATATATCCACTCAGTTTTCTCCCTTGATGACTCTTGCATATCGCATTTACATGAAGTTCATCAAACGTGTGATTTAACAGCATCCGATTCCTATACGTCATCTCATCCATTAGAGGTCTCCGTTGAAGAAGTTGAAAAACTCTTGCGTGAAATAGATCCAACTAAAGCGTGTGGTCCTGATGCTTTTCCTTCCTTTGTACTAAAAGAATGTGCCTCTGAACTTGCCCCATCCGCATGTAAGCTATTTAATAAATCTATCTCCTCTGGAACGTTTCCTCAGCAATGGAAATAAGCCGTAGTCGTACCAATTCACAAAAAAGGCAATCGAAACTTTGTGACGAATTACAGACCCATTTCACTGCTTTGTATCCTCTCAAAAGTGCTAGAACGTTGCGTATTTAACAGGCTTATTGATTATCTCTCACACTGTCTATCAGAACACCGGCATGGGTTCCTCTACTGTAACCCAAATGCTTCGTTTTCTTCACAAGATCTAGATTGGCGAGGCTTTTGATAAAGCCTCCCAAATAGACATTATCTATCTGGATCTGTCCAAAGCATTCGACCCTGTATCACACTCTCGCCTCCTTTTCAAAATAAAAATCAGCTGGTATTAAAGTTGTTTGTTCTTCTGGCTCTCAGACTACCTAGCTAACAGAGCACAGCGAGTACTTGTAAAAGGTTGCACGTCCAAACTTTTACCAGTAACTTCTGGAGTACCTCAAGGCAGCATACTTGGGCCACTTTTATTTATCTGGTATATCAACGACCTGCCCGATGTTGTATCTAAAGACACGTTAGTCTACCTGTTTGCAGATGACACAAAGCTTGTTAGAATCAACAATTCACCATCAGACGTTAGAGAAATCCAGGATGATATCACTAAAGTAAGCTCTTGGACTAACCAATGGTCGTTGAAACTCAACTTCGAAAAGTGCGAATCTCTATCCGTCACTCGTAATAGGCAACCAGTGAACAGTGTTTATGCTATTAATGGCAAACCAATCTCAAAAACCATATCTCAGAAAGATCTAGGTGTGTTAACCACCCCAACTCTAAAATGGGATCTTCATACGTTACATATTTGTTCCAAAGCTCAGAAAATGCTGGGATTTCTGCACAGAACTTCAGATTCTCTTTTTAGCATCGATGCCAAACGCTCCTTATACCTAAGCTTAGTCCGTTCCAACTTGGGCTATGCCAGTGAGGTGTTGTCTGCACTTTCTGGTAAGAATTTATGCATGGTTAAAGGGATTCAAAGACGCGCAAAAAATTTATTCTGGGATACCACAACTCTTACCAATCTTACAAAGACAGACTACTAGCATTGAAACTATTGCCCGTCTGCTATTGGCATGAAATTAAGGAGCTTGTTTTCTTCTTCAAAATCATCAATGGTTTCTACAATCCCGTGGCGATGGTACTAATTCCGCTCGGCTATTTTCACCCTGCAGAGAAAGGAAAGCGCTAGCGAAGTCTAAAGTTTATCAAGAATCGCTGGCGCGTGGCTATGCATGGTTGGTCATCTCACTGATCTCAAAATTATAGCTGTTTGCCAAGAGTGAAGGAAGCAAAGATTAAAAAAACATGCATCAGTGACAGAGAGCTTGGACATTTTTTCACACAAACGGTTGTAAATCACCTTTTTCAAATTTTAAAGAAAGTTTGAGAAATCCTCAAGTACCGGGCAAGTTAATTGTTTTAACTGTTTATGCATGACTTTGCTGTCCATGCCAGCTTTCGGGTTTTTTGCCTGAAGGCCTTCAACATGTACAGCTTTCCTTTTCATTCTATGCCATGAAAGTTAAGTTGTTTTATTTTTTTATAAAGGAAAGAAGAAAATGATTTTCAAGAGCTACCTGTAGGATTTAAATTTATTTCATTTCAAAGTGCGAGTAATAAGTTGAAGAGTTTACCGGCAAAAAGCAGTTAATTTCAATGCACATTTAAAAACGTTTTACGACGCTTTTCGTGTTGAATTGTGCATTATAATAAAACCCATAGAAAGCAAAATATCAGACCTACTTTATATATGTTAAAAATCGAAAGTTCTGTACAAGTCACTTCTGTGGTTAAAAGTGTAACACATTAATTTATTTTCGCTGTTTTTTAACAAAAAATTAAGAAAACAGTTGACAACTTGCATGTTAGACTAAATTTTAATCTAATTAAAAATAGGTTACAGTCCCTTCTGTGCATGCGCATGCTTTGTTTACGTTTGTTGTTTTGAATTTTGATCCACATTAATTATGTAAGATGAAGTATATGATAAGTTCAAAACACGTTAAAATAAATATTTCACATTATTTGCGACAGAGGAGTGCAATGTTTGACAATACTTCGCTGCATTTCTTGTACATTTGTACACTGGAAATTCTTGTGCGCAATAACACAATTGTAACTGTAATACTGTAACTTTTAAATCTAAAAATCGTGAATGAAGAGGCCGCTTTGAACCTTGACTTGATAGATCGACAGCTGGAACGGCGAACCGAAATCCCGAAGGTGTGAGTTCGAATAATTTGTGTTTACCTTTGGAGTTTGTGTCTAATCATGAAAATAATTCATGCGGTATAACTCCCTCAAACATGTTGCCAGAGACCTCTCTCCTCCGCACAAGCCTTTTAAAGGATATGAAATTCGAAGGAATTGAAATTGCGCTAGAAGGTATCTGGTATGAAGACAACCGCTGAAAATCGGTGCGCGGGCGAGGGGAAGGGAAGGAAAATATAGCGGAAGCCTCTGCCCGATTTATGTCCCAATATGGCGTTAAACCGGGGGAGGAGAGACTCGTGCAGATTCTCGAGCAGTTTGACAAAATGGCTCAGTATTATTCATGTCCACAAAGCCAATTTACTTTGGCTTTGCGGAGCAGGAAAACGTGTCTTGCTGTCTGTGGTTCACAAACAACAGATATATTTAGTCAAGTAGGCCTTCAACAACATTACCGAATTAGACACAGAGGCACAGAATTCGATGATAATAGTTACAATTTTTTTTGGCTTTATATTTTAAATTGCCGATATATTTTACAATGAAGGTGGGTTTTAATATAAGATTTTGAAAATTACAAGATTTTTTATGTTGAAGGCGATGGTGAGAGCATGGTGTTGTGTTGTTCAAACGAGAAAGAGGCAGCAAAGTTGTTTGGGTTGTATTTAGACCATAAAGTTTCCTTGCCAAAACTATTTATTATTTTCATTCATTCAATCTCATAAACACAATATTATACCAAAATATAAACGTCGGCCAACAGATCTTTATCCAAAATGTCTTCACATTATGAAAGAAAATTTAAAACAGAATGGATTGTTAAGATAATATACGGATGCTACAGATATCGCCAATTTGTCACAGATATTGACACAAGTCGGGCAGAGGCTTTTTCTATTTTTTGCTATTTTTTCTTTCCCTTCCCTTCGCCCGCGCACCGATTTTCAGCGGTTGTCTTCATACCAGATACATTCTAGCGCAATTTAAATTCCTTCGAATTTCATATTCTTTAAAAGCCTCTGCGGAGGAGAGAGGCCAGGGACCGAGTTGTTGCAATTATGACAGAAGTACTTGATGAAAGCTTTTCGCTCGACGAATTCGAATCAAGTGTAATTGATGTGACTACAGTCCCTGTCTTCGTGGCAAAGGCGAGGGCGGAATTTTTGACCGTGCAAAAGCTGGATAAACAGCTTTTGTTCAAGCTCGTGCCCGCATCTATGGAGATGATTTCGGATGCTGTATAAACGACAGAAGAATTCAAGAGATTGACAGTGACGAGAGGCAAAGATTATATTTTTTTTTTTTGTGTTATAAAAATGTATGCTTTGAAATTATGAACTGGAAGTATTGATATTACTCTCTGAGTCTCATATTGACACTAAATGATGACACTCTCATATTGACACCAAATGATGTAATATTAACTTCAACAATTCTGGCACATTTTCTGGCGATTTTGGTTAATTATGTCTCTTCTAGACGGAGGACAATGGCTAAATTAATAAATTTATGCCTGTTTTGCTCCATATCAGAGCTCATCAGAATGCCCAGGAACGTTGTCAGAACAGGCTGCCATGGTCTGTTTTGGGACATGAAATTAGACAACACTGTAAAACCCTGCGTATAAGAACCTAGATTTTTTCAAGTTAATACCTAAACATGTTCTTACGTAAATGGTGCTTATCTGACTGTTCATGTTACAAATTGTAATTATATTTAAACCCTGTTTACACAACACTCGATTTTTGGTACCTTACCACTTTTTTGGTTCTTGGACTACTTAAATATAGGTTGTCCAAGAACCAAGAAATGGTACGGGTACCAATTTTATCCGTGCCGTACCAAAAATTGAGCGTAGTATAAACAGGGCTTTAGTAGCTATATTCAGTACTCTGAGGGGGCATATAGAGCCCTTGAGTCATGCTCGTGCTTTTCCCCTTGGAGTTCTATTTTAATGTCTGTATATATGTGTGTTAATAATTGTTCATAAATTATTTGTATTATCATATAACCCAATAAATCTGTTAAAAAAGAAAGATTCATTGACATATATTATGGGATGGTACCACACTTTGTGGCAATTATAGTACAATATAAACTGGCAAGTGTCTGGCACCTTAAAGCCAAATTGCTTTGTGTAGGTGGAGCTCATAAGCCTTGGCTGGCAATCCATCAAGGAGAAAGAAAGCTCTGATTCAAACCGCCAGACCCCATTTTTGGACAAGACATGTATAGTAACTATATCAGTCATGACATGTAAAAATGCCAGTATATATGCACTTATACAAAGCTGCCAGTGGCATAACTACTGCGTATTCAGACCGGGCACACCTGGGGGTCCCTAACCCCAATGGGCCAAATGGGGACCCCAGGCTCAGGCTGTAGAGCAAAAACATCGGCCAGGGAGGCCTCTGATATGTTAAAATGTTGTTTTCAGACCATCAGAATTTTCTGACCATCAGAATTCTGTAAAATCTCTCCCCAAAGTCCAGGAAATGGCATTTTAGAGACTCTAGATTCAAACAATTTCGTGTGAGTATCCCCTGGACTCCCTAGAAAACTCTTGCATATACGGGGCTCAACTCGTGTCTTTGGCACTTCCACTAGGGGGGAGGCTTCGAAAATATTGAACCGGGGGCCCCTTGATATAACGTTATGCCACTGAAAGCTGTATGCACTGTAAAGCTACATTTTATTTATCTCAATAACATTTTCAGGGTTCTGGATCATTTTCATTACTTTGTGAAGATATTTTATATTTTCTTTTCTTTGACTTATATACATTTTTTATTTGACTGGTCTCCATGTGATAAAATAAGATCCTCATGAATTTCTAGCTTAAACAGATTCTTATATTGGGTGTCTAAAAAAAATTAGCCTGACAGGCTCTTATATAGGTTCTTATATGCAAGCTTTTGCTTACAATTAGGGTGGAAAAATATACTAGTAATCTGTTGAGAAAGTCTTATTTACTACAATATATTCGTATTCAGCGGCTTAGGCAAACCAGCCCACCTGTCAAACACCTGTTACAAATCTATTATTCCATTATTTACCCCTTTCTGTCATATGGCGTGATTATATGGGGTAACACATACAACTCTAATATACTGCCATTAGTAACTTTGCAAATAAAAGGCTTTACGAATTATTAGCTACGTTTTCTGACTTTCGAGGATGGTTTCCCCCTTTTTAAGAAAATCAGTTTACTTAAACTGGTTGATATTATTTACCTCAACACTGCATTATTTATGTATGACCATAAAAAATGGAAATCTTCCTGACAATTTTAACGATTTCTTCTCCTCTGTTAGGGTTAGACATAGCTACGAAACACGACTAGCAACTAAAAATACGTTATTGATACCTCAAGTTGGAACCGATTACAGGAAATTTAATACTAGATTTATTGGTCCTAATACGTGGAATTTAGTCAACGAACTACTGAAACAACTTAGTAGATTGTCTTTTAAAAATGAACTAAAACGAAAAATAATTAATGAATATGAGGATTAATGGCAGTTTCGCCATTAAAATATTCTCCCATTTAAATCTCTTTTGAGTCTCTGTTTTTCTTCGTATTGTGTCTGTTTTTATACCAGTTTCGTCTGTGTGTTTGAGCCAATTAAAATAAAAATTGTTTGTAAAAATTCCCCAATTGTTCGTAAATGTATAATCTTTGCTTTTAATGACCGCTTGTCTCGATTAGCCCCAATGGATATTACATGCGACCAGCACTACACCTATATGTTTATGTACCCTAATATAATTATTCATGTATTTATAATCAAATTGTGCTCAATAAAATTTCTTCTTCTTCTTTTTCTTTCTAGGCGAGATCTGGGGCTCTGTCAGGCTTCATAAATTAAACAAGATCTCGCTCAGGCAAGCCAGCCTGGTTCTCATATATGCACAATACGAATATTAGTATAAATTATCTAGCAACATTAGATCTTGCATGGCCAAGCGAGCTAGCTCAGGCACCTGGGCTGGCTTTCCTCCATATAATTAAACACCCCATTTTAAATGTTAAGTAACTTCAGAGCAACTAAATAGCATTTAAACTGTTATGTGCTTTGATCAAATTAAAATATACTTTGATCAGAGAAACTTTTTGATGTGTTTATATTAAATTTAAGTGAGCGCAAGTTATGAGCAGACAGTCAAAGACAGTAAAGCACTGCCACAACCAAGTATATATCACTCCTCCATATTTGGCTTTCCTCAAAAACAACCAAATAACTATAAGAATACAATGAAAGTATATATTTGCTTGTTGTCGGTATTTTTCAGCTTGTTGTCGGTAATTGTCAGCTTGTTGTCGGTAATTTTGTGCTTGTTGTCGGTAATTGTCTGTTGTTGACGGTAGCTGTCGGTTTGTTGTCGGTATTTAGTACGACCGCACTCTGACATTAACACGTCTATATAATTAATATAAACAGCCATCCAAAAGTCCCAAACATGTTGACTCCAAATTGCTCATTACTTTTTCATCGACAACTCACTACTCACAAGTATCATATCTTTGGGCCTTTATAATTATATTATGGGTTTCAGTTTGTAAATAAAATAGATAGAACAGTTCGTATATAACGATAGTCAAATAGTGTAATAAAGAAATTTTATAGTCATTAATGATAATGATTTTATTTAAAGTCGAAAAACGCAGGAAGTGGTCGCCCAATCTTTCGAGACACAGGCTCATGTTAAAAGTGCTCGACATTAACTATTACAACTATATATATATATATATATATATATATATATATATATATATATATATATATATATATATATATATATATATATATACAGCTAATTCAATAAAGGTTGTCCTTTGAAAACCTTAAACTCTAAAACCTTAAACCTTAAACTCTAAGCGCGCAAAGCATTATGGGAGTACGATTTAAATATCTCTCTGCGAAATATTTCAATCACAAACAGCTGCAATATTCAACTACTAAGCTTGAAATCAGTGCTCCCATTATGCTTTGCGCGCTTAGATTTTAAGGTTTAAGGTTTAGAGTTTAAGGTTTGCAAAGGACAACCTTTTTTGATTTAGCTGTATACAAAAACCTTAGGATATTATAATTATTAATAAATAGCTACAATATAGAAATAGTTTAAAAATACGTATAGTTTACGATAGACATATATTACAAGTGCAGCCTTTCTTAATGTCCTCTAGCATCAAGCTTTTTAACATTGCCTTAAAATGACTGACTGTTGTTGCATATTTAATGTTTTGTGGGAGCTTATTCCACACATGACTGATTATACAGGTAAAAGAAAAATAATCGAGGTTAATAATCGAGGTTTTTAATCGAGGTTTTTAGTAAAACCGCAATTGATGGGCTTCAACAAGCGATTTCACTTAAGGATCCGCAGTGCAGCTACTATGTTGGGAGCAATCCCCAATCCATCTTGGATTCTTTTCTTGAAAACCTTTGGTAGAAGCTTGAGGATGTATACACTAGGTATATCATGAGCAAACACAAAATTGGCACGCCCTCGCCATCGTCGAAAACAATAAGATAGATATACTTTGATACATTTTGGAAGCATCCCTGCTAGCGTAGCATTCTTTCCTACTCGGCATGTTGCCTCAATAACTCGTTATTTGACGGATTGTCCCAAAAAAGCTCAAAATATTTTGGAAACTTCTTCACTCATTAGGCTATTAAATTCACTTGCGATAAAAACAACGCGCGTGTTATTGCCAGAA